ATTCTTGTGCCCTCAACTGTATGAATATATTTTTCTTCGCCACGAAAACGTGTTTGATACCGCAAATTGCTACTTTATATTGTTGGCTAATCTTTCACTGCCGATCACGTGTTTTCGGCGAGACTATACTACATACATAAGTAATGCAGAAGAGTCCTATATAAGATTTCTACATAACCAACCATTAAATGGGATGACTTTTCATTTGTCCCTGTAATGGCGATGCAAAGAAAACCAAGTCATTTAGATAGTAGATACTACTCTGCACCCAGATTAGATCTAGATAAACAATATAGTGATAAGGCCACGTAATTGGTGCGCTTGTGTAATCAACATCAAAACTTAACGTTCTGCTTGGACAAATATTGGGGGATCAGGGTACAATCTTTCGACAGGGAAAACAGTCATATAAAAAAGAAGTGTACTGAGCAAACAGTCAGGAAGATTTTGAGACAAAGGCAAAGCGGGATGTCATAAAGCAAACACGGGCACTGGAAATTATTATTATACTTATGGTAAAACCAGAACAATAGGTGCGATAAGAGGTACGATCTCATGTGGTTCCGAGCGATAAGATAAAAGCGAAAGAGGGGCGCAGAAGAGCGGGGTGGGTTTAAGAAGACGAAAGAAGCTGCTAGAAAAGTGCCGATGACCCAATATAGCAGACTGTATATCCATCTCTCTTTATCTCACTTGCCACACAAAAACAAAGCAAACTGCAATGGCGAGTGGAATTTTCCCTTGTTTACAGCAATTACGCCTTTGTGTGTGTGCGTTTGTGCTTGTTGTTGTTTATATGACATAATGAATGCCAAAGATGCAGGATGGAAATTAAGAGGTAGCGTCAGCAGATTTCTGGATAATTCCAAACTTAAACAAAATGGTGGAAATTGTTTGAATTCGCCAACGGTGAAAAGTTCCGTTTTCGGCAAGTGCATTAGCGCTCCAATTGGATTGCATAAAGCAAATTGGATAAATGTCAATTCCAATAAGAAGCGAAACAGGTAAACAAAGAATAGAGAAACACGCACACACACAGATAATTGGGGGTTCTCCCATAGGAAGGGGGGTCAAACTGTAAATAGGAGGGCAAGAGGCGTTGCCAGATGCGTAAACTTGATGTGTCATTTGCGCCAATTAATAAAATAAACAAGGCCTGCAAGCAAATGGATTATTAAAGCATATAAAGAAAACGTGTGCTGTATTATTATTTATTTGTGTTAACAATCAACAAAAGAATTAAGGCAGAGCCGACAGAGTGGCAACGCTGGGGGCGGCCATCTTGAACGGAAAACAAAACAGTAAATAAATAACCAATAAAGTAAAAAATTAAATTTCATAGCTTTCAACTGAAATCAATTATTTACTTTACTTACGAAACGTGCCACCACAAATACATGGGCACAATTTCCATTATTTATTTCCGCCGTTCTCTTTTTGTTTTTGCCTCTGTGTGCGTCACAGATGATTTTACAATAAAAAAAAGAAACACATACTGACCCACACAGCTGCACCAGGTATGGTGTGCGTGTGCGCGTACGTGGGGAAATAAACCAACACCGTTACCCGATTTATTAGCAGGTTACACTTAAACTATTGCACTACAAACCATTACAACCAAGCCTACTTGCCACCAATTGGAAAGGGGTCGTGGACTCCCTCGCACTATTTTCATTTCTCTTTTTTTTCATCTTTCTTTGCACTACAAAATCGACTTTGCACTTTTTCTCTTCGTGTATGGCGTCCAACATGGATACCATTACTTACAGTTTATTATTCATTTTTGATGGCATTTTCACTTTTAATGGTTGCAACTTAACGCACTGAGAAGAAATCGAATTGAACGAAATTGTGTTTTTTTGGTGAAACTCTTTTTTTTGGGGTGCAAACCTCCCAGCTATAAGATGTGATTGCGTCGAAATTTAGTATAAAACTGTGAAATATACTAGGGTGTCTCTGCTTTTATAGGTTCTGGTGCGACCTTTTTCGGGGGATTTAACGGTGGCACGTTTTGGCCACACTAACTGCAATGGCGCTTTTGAGGGATGAGAGTAATTCGATAAATTTGTTGCCAACAGATTTTTTGGGAACATAAACAAATTTAAACAAACTCTATTCACGTCCCTTTATTTTTAATTTTTGAGCTAACACATCTACATAGTGACCTATTGACTTTGTAAGAGTGAAGCTCTCTCTCTAAGCCATTGTTATAAAGAAAATCGGACTTAAAATTTAAAATATTGAATTTAATTTAAAATAACAAGAACGCCATTTTGACATCCTAGGAAAAACGAAGTAATAGTAAATACATATATAATAAATCTTAAAAATCTACCTGTCTAAAAATCCAGTTGGCTGGAGTACAACCTGTCTAGAAATCAAGTTGGCAGCCTGGTTTTTCGATAGCTCGATAATTACGACGGCAAACGCAGCCACATTGTTGTCTGCCCACCTCTAGCCACTCTTCTTCTTTTGGGAACTGGGCAACTTGAAAAAACGTGCGTCAGCCTTTTAACCGTGAGAGTCCGTCATCCTTTTTAACTAAAAAACCATGAGCTTTCCCGGAACGTTCGCGTTCGACGAATATGGTAGGCCCTTCATTATCCTGCGCGACCAGGAGCGCCAGAAGCGCATCACAGGAACAGATGCCATAAAGGTAAATGAAACGAGTATTTGCCGGTCCTGTTGGTAGATTCCGCATCCTGTAGAAGCTAAAATGGAGGAGAAACACTGGAAAAAGTCGTATTTAGAAGTATTGTTTCTTAAAGGGGGTCCAAAAATGACCGCATCGTCTTCGGAACATTCCAGATGTTCTATAAAGCCGGTTTTTCGAAGGGCTGACAGTTTTAATCCTAATAAATTTGGCCAATATATCCTGTCTAAAGTGTGAGCAGGGTCTTTAAACAAATATTTACACTTTAGTGGCCTCAACAAACATTAAATTTAAGAAAACTAAAATGTCTGGGCTATTTTGAGGTTAAAACGTCGCCCAGATGTTTTTCTTTCATTGCCGGCTGAGTCACGCGCACCATGAAACGTTTGGATATTGATGGAAGCAAATGAAATGCCTCAAAAGACTTTGTTTTCTTGATGCAGTTTTAGAGTTTATTCCCCATTTGTATGAACCCAACTTTGTCAATCTAAAAACTATTTATTTTATTTATATATTTTTCGAAAAAACAACAACACTATCAATTAGAATAATGTTTTAAACTATGGATTAAAATCAACCAACTAAAACATTGTTGAACTAAATCGAACTTAATATTTATATTTATTTATTTTATCTTACTAATATTTCCATTTTCCTCCCTGTAGACGCACATTATGGCTGCCCGCCAGATCGCATCCACCCTGAAGACCTCCTTGGGTCCCAAGGGTCTGGACAAGATCATGGTCAGCCCGGATGGAGACGTGACTGTGACCAACGACGGTGCCACCATCATGAAGCTGATGGAGGTTGAACACGAGATTGCCAAGCTGATGGTGCAGTTATCGCAGTCGCAGGACGACGAGATCGGCGACGGAACCACCGGCGTGGTGGTCCTGGCCGGTGCTCTGCTGGAGCAGGCCGAGGGACTGATCGACAGGGGCATCCATCCCATTCGTATCGCCGATGGCTTCGAGTTGGCCGCCCAGTGCGCCATCAAGCAGTTGGACTCGATTGCCCAGCCCTTCCCCGTGGACCCGAAGAACAAGGAGCCACTGGTTCAGATAGCCATGACCACGCTGGGCAGCAAGATCGTGAACAAGTGCCATCGTCAGATGGCCGAGATGGCTGTGGATGCCGTGCTGAATGTGGCCGACATCGAGAAGAAGGACGTGAACTTCGAGCTCATCAAGATCGAGACCAAGGTCGGCGGTCGCATGGAGGACTCGATGCTGGTTAAGGGCGTCATCGTGGATAAGACCCTGAGCCACTCGCAGATGCCCAAGGAGCTGAGGAACGTCAAGTTGGCCATTCTCACCTGCCCGTTCGAGCCCCCGAAGCCAAAGACCAAGCATAAGCTCGATGTGACCTCCGCGGAGGATTACAGGGCGCTGCGTGAGTACGAACAGGAGAAGTTTACCCAGATGGTCAAGCAAGTGAAGGACGCTGGCGCCACTCTGGCCATCTGCCAGTGGGGCTTCGACGACGAGGCAAACCATCTGCTGCTGCAGCAGGAGCTTCCGGCCGTGCGCTGGGTGGGCGGTCCGGAGATCGAGCTGATCGCCATCGCCACCGGTGGACGCATCGTGCCTCGCTTCGAGGAGCTCACGCCCGAGAAACTGGGTCTTGCCGGTCTGGTCCGCGAAATGGGTAAGTTTTCATCCAGTAGAGTTATGGCGCATTTTTAATTAAATTCCATTCCCTTCAGCATTCGGAACTTCCAAGGACAAGATGCTGGTCATCGAAGAGTGCAAGAACTCCAAGGCAGTGACTATTTTCCTTCGTGGCGGTAACGCCATGATCATCGCCGAGGCCAAGCGCTCCATTCACGACGCCATCTGCGTGGTGCGTTCGCTGGTGAAGGACTCGCGTATTGTCTACGGCGGCGGTGCTGCCGAGATTAGCTGCTCGCTGGCGGTGGCCAAGGAGGCCGACCAGCTTTCCACTTTGGAGCAGTACGCCTTCCGCGCCTTTTCCGTGGCCCTGGAGAGCATTCCGTTGGCCCTGGCTGAGAACAGCGGCCTGCATCCCATTGAAACCCTGTCGGAGCTGAAGGCCAGACAAGTGGCCGAGAAGAAGCCTAGCCTGGGCGTGGACTGCATGCTGACTGGTGATTCGGACATGAAGAGCCACAACGTGGTGGAGTCGCTGCACTCGAAGAAGCAGCAGATTCTGCTCTCCACGCAGCTCGTCAAGATGATACTCAAGATCGATGACGTGCGCTCCAAGAACGAAGGCGGCATGTAACGACCCACTTGCACACCACATTAGATCAGTTTCAGATTCACATCCCCTCGCTTTGCTATCTCTTCACGAACAACACCCGCGCAACGCCTCATCTCTATGTACATCTGTATTAATTGTTTACTTTATTAATCCACAAGTTCTTTGGAAAAGAAAAAAATTACATTATACAAGGGGTTATCCCTGGTCAAATACACTAAAACCAACCTAAGCCATTGACTAGACTTTCTTTCCGTTAATGGTGGCTAGTTGTTTGCGATTGATCTGGTCAAAGAATAGCAATCCCGCCGAGCGCTCCACGCTCTCAGGCGGAACCTGGAACACACTGATGGGAGTGTCGTTGCTGATCACCTGGTTGGGCATCACATATGACTCCATGTGAAGTTTGTGGTCCGGTGATTCGCCCACGATCACCTTGTAAAAGTGTGTAGGAACAGCAACCGTATTCGCACCGATGACCTCGTACTTCACGTAGGTCTTTCCGTCGTCCTCCTTGTGGGGCAGGTAAAGTGGACCCGTGCAGACGTATACATTGGAGTAGGTCTTGGTCAGTTTGCGCACATGCGACTCCAAGGTGTTCCACGCGTCTCGGTTGAATCCCTGGCCCACCTGTGGCGCCATGTTGGACAGGTAGAAGGTTTCGTCGCAGTGCTTCTGGTGCAGTCGATGGTTGCCAGCCGCGGCCATGTGCCCGCGATCATAGCCGGATCGCCTGTAGTCCGTGTTCTGGGACCTGAAGAACGGGTGGATGCTCTCGTCCTGTTTAAAATCACATTTAGCTCGATCCACGGCATCGTTCTTGGCCACCGACTCCGCCGTCAGGTGCTCGAACACCCAGTGGGGCACTCGGTTCCTCCGATCGTAGGATAGCACATAGTCCGAGTGGGAGCGCACATGATCCAGTCCCGGGAAGCCGTACTTCATGATCTGACCGATCCGAGAAGGTGTCGCCGCCAGGCTCACATTCGACTCTTGGGCAGGAATCAAACTGGCCGCCGAAACAGTTCCAAAGGTGGGTAATCCCGGCAGGCGGGGAAGGCTATTGGCGAAACCGTCGTTCCGACGTTCCCGCTCCACGTGGGAACCCAGGTAGAAGGCGCCCAAGGCGGTGGCACCCAGGGCTAATACGCTGCCCACTCGTCGCCCACTCATCTTCGCAGTTTTATTTATAAATCTGGCCAAAATGACCAGATAACAGCCGCTATTGCACAATTCAGGTACTTCGGTGTAGGAAAGACAGAAAGTATCGATACATCGATCATGTAATCCGATAAACGTTATGATAGATGTGCGATATATCGTTATTTTGTCTGATATATCGGACTAATTTCCCATAACTTTGGCTCTAAAAATTCAAACGTATTCCTCAATGTATTCTGCCCACATAAACGAAAATACATTAGCTTCTCTTTAAAACGCAGCTTAATAATATTCAGAATCAATCCAAAATCCCACGTAACAAACTTAGAGTACCCCAGAGTCTTTCAGGAACCAATTTTAAAAATTGTTTTTATTTATTCGAAAGAAAAGTGATTTTCGATTGTATGTTGAAACTGTGATCGTCAGGACATTTTAAAGGTGTTTTGATTGGTACTTTATAAAGTCGGAAACGCTTTCTTTTACCTGTTGCATACTTTTAAACAAATATAATATACCCTTTTGCTCTACGAATAACGGGTATAAAAAAAAATCCTTTCGTAAAGACGAAATCATGAAATCTATATAAAATCTAAGGTATATTTGTATTAACAATTAAATGTGACTGCGGTTATATCAATATATCGTATATTAGTCAAGGTCAAGCCCGGTTTACTGCACTTGTCTCCCCCTAATTCGTTTGCTTAGCTTTATTTGCAGCTCAAAGCTCTAAGTCCGAGCTTCGATTCCATTCCGTTTCACTTTACCGAGGTTTTATTTGACGAGGTTATCTCTCTAGGCTTGTTTACATTGGAACTGCAGCTGATTAGAGGCGAATCGGATAGAGGCATTTTTCCAGTGTTCAGTTGAAAGTGAAAACCATATAGAGAGGATGCTGGATGTGGTGGCCGTACTCCTGATCGCCCTGGCGGTAGTCTTTTGGTTTGTGCGCACGCGATATAGTTACTGGACCCGGCGGGGAATCGGAAATGATCCGGCTCGATTCCCCGTGGGCAATATGGACGGGTTCCGGAAAACGAAGCACTTCATCGACATTGTTACTCCGCTGTATGAGAAGTTTAAGAACAATGGAGCACCCTTCGCGGGGTTTTTTATGATGCTACGACCCGTGGTTTTAATCACCGATCTTGAGCTGGCCAAGCAGATTCTCATACGGGATTTCGCCAACTTTGAGGATCGCGGAATGTATCATAATGAGCGCGATGATCCTCTGACTGGGCATCTTTTCCGCATCGATGGACCCAAGTGGCGACCCTTGCGTCAGAAGATGTCGCCCACTTTCAGTTCCGCCAAGATGAAGTACATGTTTCCCACCGTTTGCGCCGTGGGCGTGGAGCTTGGTCAGGTGTGCGGCGAGTTGGCGGATAATGCCATGTGCGGCATCATCGAGATCGGGGATCTGATGGCCCGCTACACATCCGATGTTATAGGGCGATGTGCCTTTGGCGTGGAATGCAATGGCCTTCGGAATCCCGAGGCCGAGTTTGCCACAATGGGCAGGAGAGCCTTTTCGGAGCGCCGTCATTGCAAGCTAATTGATGGGTTTATCGAGAGTTTTCCCGATCTGGCCCGACTGCTGCGCATGCGCCAGATCCACCAGGACATTACGGATTTCTATGTGGGCATCGTCAGGGAAACAGTGAAGCAGAGGGAGGAGCAGGGCATCGTGAGGAACGACTTTATGAACCTGCTGATCGAAATGAAGCAGAGGGGAGAGCTCACCATCGAGGAAATGGCCGCCCAGGCTTTTATATTTTTTGTAGCTGGCTTCGACACATCCGCTTCGACCCTTGGATTTGCCCTTTATGAGTTGGCCAAACAGCCGGAATTGCAGGTGAAGCTGCGCACAGAAATCGATGAGGCGTTACAATTACATCAGGGGGAATTCACCTATGATTCCATGCAGGAGCTTCGCTACATGGAACTGGTCATTGCAGGTGGGTCTTTCTTATAATCTGCAAAGATATCTAGGGAAAATCGAATGAAAATACGAGTACAAATGCAATTTAGAAAACGTTACAAAAAACAAACGCTTTTTTTTATCACATTTATATGAAAATACTTATGGTGTAGTAGCCCATTTAGAAAAGTTTGGTCTAGTCTAGTTAGCCAATGTCTAGTTTGGTTTTATAACGTTTTTCTCATAAGCTATAATAAATTTTGCACACCACAAGTTTTAATGCCCATCTCTTCTTCTTATTTTTTCCAGAAACTCTCCGAAAATATCCAATACTACCACAGTTAACTCGGATCTCCAGGCATTTGTATGCCGCCAAGGGCGACCGCCATTTCTACATAGAGCCCGACCAAATGATACTTATTCCGGTCTATGGTATCCACCATGATCCCGCCCTATATCCAGAGCCCCACAAGTTCATACCGGAACGCTTTTTGGCCGATCAACTGGCCCAGCGACCCACCGCCTCTTGGCTGCCCTTCGGCGATGGCCCCAGAAACTGCATTGGTATGAGATTTGGCAAAATGCAGACGACCATTGGCCTGGTCAACCTGCTCCGGAACTTTCACTTCAGCGTCTGTCCGCGTACTGACCCGAAAATCGAGTTTGTGAAGTCAAATATTCTACTGTGCCCAGCTAATGGCATTTACCTGAAGGTTCAAAAGCTAAGCCAATTGGGGAGATAGCGGTTCTAATCTAACTGATTGTATTTTGATCAACATTTTAATTTGATTGTGTATAGTACAGATAAAACAACTTTTTTATTAACCTACGTAGTACCGGTTTGAACATAATCTAGCTTATTGGAGCTCCCAATTTTGATTAAATATTTTTGTCGTCACTTTCATTATCTGGTATAATCATAAGAATTTGGAAAGCATTTCACCAGCACCTTAAATATTAAATAATATGATTTTTCTGATAAAGTATATGCCGGTAAAAGTATATGTGTTTGATCAGAGTATAATTTTGTGTATCCAGCAAGCAAAGGTGTACGATTTTAGTCAGATAAACTACATAAGAGATCTGCGAAAGAGAGTAAGAGAGACCATATAAGCGATATAGCATACCACTGTAAACTCAGTATTGAGCGGAACGTGAACGAGAAATGTCGCTGTTACTGTCGCTGATCGTGGTCATAGTGTCGCTGATTTTGTTTGTGGCCCGTCGACGTCATGGATATTGGAAGCGGAGGGGTATTCCGCACGATGAGCCCCACCCACTTTTCGGAAACATCAAGGACTGGCCCAATAAACGTCACATAGCCAAGATATTTCGGGACTACTACTTCAAATACAAAGATTCGGGTAACCCATTCGCTGGGTTTTTCTTCTTTTTCACCCGGACGGCTGTGGTTACCGACTTGGAACTGGTCAAAAGAGTGATGATCAAGGACTTTAATCACTTCGAGAATCGGGGAGTTTTCTACAATGAGATCGATGATCCCCTTTCAGCTACTCTGTTCAGCATTGAAGGTCAAAAGTGGCGTCATTTGAGGCATAAACTTACGCCCACATTTACGTCCGGAAAAATGAGGAACATGTTCCCGATAGTTGTGAAAGTTGGAGATGAAATGGATAAGATCTTCAGTGCTAAAACTGAATTAGGTCAAAGTCCAGTTTTGGAGGTTGTTGATTTGGTGGCACGGTATACCGCTGACGTAATAGGCAACTGCGCGTTCGGTCTCAATTGCAATAGTTTACACGATCCTAAGGCAGAATTTGTGACAATTGGCAAGCGGGCGATCACCGAACATCGCTATGGAAATATGCTGGATATATTTCTATTCGGATTTCCCAAGTTATCGCGTCGCTTGCGCTTGAAATTGAACATCCAGGAGGCAGAGGACTTTTACACGAGGATCGTAAGGGAAACAATTGACTACCGATTGAAGACCAACGAGAAGCGAAACGACTTTATGGACAGTCTGATAGAGATGTATAAGAATGAGCAGTCGGGCAACTCGGAGGATGGTCTTACCTTTAACGAGCTATTGGCCCAAGCTTTTATTTTCTTTGTGGCTGGTTTCGAGACAAGTTCTACGACCATGGGATTCGCCCTCTACGAGCTGGCCCGCAATCAGGATGTTCAGGATAGACTCAGGGAGGAGATTACAAATGTTCTGGGCAAGCACAACAACGAGTTCACCTACGAGGGAATCAAAGAGATGAAGTATCTGGAGCAGGTTGTTATGGGTAAGTTTCTTAATTTAATGTTCGATATCTATACACATATTTTTTTTATCACTCGACTGTTATTTTTATTTTGTACTTGAATCATTACGTTTGCTTCCAGAAACCCTCCGCAAGTATCCAGTTTTGGCTCACCTTACGAGAATGACCGAGACAGATTTTTCACCTGAAGATCCGAAGTACTTTATTGCCAAGGGCACTATTGTTGTGATTCCAGCTCTTGGCATTCATTATGATCCAGAAATATACCCCGATCCCGAGAAATTTGAGCCAGAACGCTTCACTGACGAGGAAATCGCTGCGAGATCATCGTGCACCTGGCTTCCATTTGGCGAAGGTCCCCGAAACTGCATTGGTCTTCGATTCGGTTTGATGCAAACCTGCGTGGGACTGGCCTACCTGATTAGAGGCTATAAGTTTAGTGTCGCTCCGGAAACGCAAATACCTATGAAGATTGTCGAGAGAAACATTCTTATATCCGCCGAAAATGGGATCCATCTGAAAGTGGAGAAGCTTCAACATTAAGTTTAAAAGACTCAGTTATATAGATTTAGTTTAAGAATTTGATCCTATCCACAGCTGTTTATATTTAAATACAATGACAAGTTTATAAGATGGATTGAATAGTATAATTTCAGTTGTATGATATTCCAAATGAAGACGCCATGTGGAAATCACGGGATCTTTTTGTTTGTACATATTTTTATACCCGCTACGCGTAAAGTATGGTATATTATGTTAGTTGAAAAGAATGTAACAGGTAGAAGTAAGCTTTTCCATTATTAAAATAGCTATCCGAGTTTATCTGATGATTTCCCTCTGTCCGTGTGAACGTCGAGATCTAAGATGATTATAATGAAATTGATTATATCTGTCAAAAAATTTCTACGTGCCAAAAGCCCAAACTATTGTTTTTTAGTTATAAAACTTTGAAAGTCCTATATCCTTTTTTGAAAACAAAAAATGTGCGATGAACACTGAAAATTGACTTTCTTCTAAAAACTTGAAGAAAAATATTTGTTCATGAGATTTTATATACCCCACCTTTTTTATAAGGATAATTGCTTGTTCAAATAATCATTGTAATCAATTTACTTGACAATTAAATCTGGAGTTTTATTTGTGGTAAACCTTTTCCGAGAGTTCTTTTTGGAGATCTTATCCCCAACGATTGCGCCTCCTTTCAGAACGCCTCTCATGGCGCCTATATTGGATTCTATCCTGGCGCCTATATTGGCGCCTATCCCCTCGCCTATCCTCGCGTCTATCCTCGCGCTCATAACGCCTCTCTCGTCGTAGCTCACGGCGCCTCAACCTGCGAAGCCTGCGAAGCTTTTCCTTGAGGTCGTCAACCTCGGTGGAGGTCGAGGAAGTCGTGTCACTGTCGCTGGAGGTGGAGGAGGTACTGGTTGTGCTGGACGAAGTGGGCGTGCTTGATGCAGTTGGAGTTGTCGTCGAAGTCGTTGGTGAAGTCGAAGAAGTGCTAGGACTCTTCGAAGTGGTCGGAGAAGTGGAAGAAGTCGAAGGTGTTGAAGAAGTGCTTGGAGTCTTCGAGGAAGGAGACGTCGATGAAGGAGACGTCGAGGAAGGAGAAGACGAGCTTGGATCTGATGCAGTGGTTGCGCCGTAAGAAACCGCCACGAGAACCACAAGGCCGAGGGCTAGGACTAGTTGGGATAGCATCTTTAGCTCTGTGTATCTCTCACTGCACTGAAGATCTGTACAGACTCCAGCTTGAGCTCGAGTATTTATAGGAAAGCTCTCAAATATTGTGGTCCAATAGCAGAGTTCTGCGACTGTTCTTAATCACAATACATGGCACGTGGTCCAGTTGGGCATTTGTTTGAGAAGTCTGGAAATGGCTGAGGAAAATAGCGTTCCACAAATATTTGTGGCAATAAGCTATGGAGTATGGATTTGTTTGCGCTGGTCTATTGCTACCAAGTGTGCAAACATTAAACAGAAGATTTGTACTGAGATAGAAAGATCAAATGGATGGAAAGTTTAAGTGGATTTGTTAATTTTTAATTTTTTTTAAGGATTCCTAAAGTCGCCTAAGGTAAGATAAAAAGGACAAAACTCAGAAAATAATTCTGAACATCTTAGGATACCAAAAATGCATTGGTCTTCAATTCGTGTTGATGCAAACCTTATAGAGGCTCTAAGTTTAGTGTCGCCCGGAGATGAATGTTGTCGAGAGAAACATTCTTAAATTCGCCAAATATCGAAACCATCTGAGAGTGAAGAAGTTTTAACCATAAGATCAATAGACCCAGATATATAGGTTTAGTTTACAAATGTGATCCTATTTACACCTCTTTATAATATTTGAATACAATGACAAGCTTATAAGATAAAGATTAAAGTGATTTAACCATATTTCAAATGTAGAAGGCAGTGTGAAAACTCAGCATTCTTTGTGGGTGTACATTTTTTTATAATACTTTTTTTTTTTATCCTATATTAGTTTCGAAGTAAGTAAGTAAGTAGAAGGAAGCTTATCCGCCCATATAAAGTTTATTGTTTGTGTCTAAGTGAAGTAAACACTTCTGGGTCATACCGCTGGACAAGGGGTTGATGAGCATCAGGACGATGATCGCGTCGCGATAACGTTACGAGAGTTACTGTGGTACCGGACTACGGGAGTTACGCGAACTGCCCTGAAAGGGAGCTAACGAGGGTTAGCTGATATAGTTAGATGAGATAGTGTAAAAGAACGAGTTATATTTATATTTATTCTTAATATATGTATGCTTATATACAACTTGAATAACACGAAAGTTTAGTCACTAAACTAAACTTTCGTGTAATAAATAGTGAAATGAGTGGTATTCTACAGTAAGTCAGTGCATTTTGATTGTGCTAACAGTTTCGCGTAGTTGACACGGTGTGCAGCTCGGCTCAGTGTCATATATTTTTGATCAAGATCACTATTCGAGTTGATCTTCCCATTTCCCTCTGCCCATATGTACATACGTCGAGATCTAGGATATCTATAAAAAACTGTTGCTTGTTCATAGAACCATTTTATATTTTATTTTCTTGACAATTTAACTCTGGAATTTTCCTTTCGAGTAAACCTTTACCGAGCGTCCTTTTTGGAGGGCTTATCCCCAACGGTTGCGCCTCCTTTCAGCACGCCTCTCCTGGCGCCTTTCTTGCTGCCTCTCCTGGCGCCTCTCTTGCTGCCTCTCTTGGCGAAGCTCCTGCTGCCTCTCCTGGCGCCTCTCCCGTCGTAGCTCACGGCGCCTCAACCTGCGAAGCCTGCGAAGCTTTTCCTTGAGGCTGTCCACCTCCTCGCTGGAGCTCGAGGAAGACGTGTCACTGTCTGTACTGGTCGTACTGGAAGCAGTGGGCGTTGTTGATGTAGTTGGTGTAGTCGTCGAAGTAGAGGAACTGGAAGGAGTTGAAGTCGAAGAAGTGCTGGAGGGACTTGTAGAATTCGAACTCGAAGGTGTTGAAGAAGTCGAGGAAGTCGAACTCGAAGGAGTTGAAGACGTCGGGGAAGTCGAACTCGAAGGAGTTGAAGAAGTCGAGGAAGTCGAACTCGAAGGAGTTGAAGAACTCGATGCAGTGCTTGGATCGGACGTGGAAGAAGATGATGTCGACGAAGGATCAGATGACGGTGAGGTGGAAGACGTCGACGAGGATGGATCTGATGTAGTGGTTGCACCGTAGGCAGCCGCCACGAGAGCCACAAGGCCGAGGGCTAGGAATATTTGGGATCGCATCTTTAGCTGTGTGTATCTCTCAGAGTACTGAAGATCTGTGCAGACTCCGGCTTGAAGTCGACTATTTATAGGAAATCTTTCAAATGTTGTGGTCCAATAGCACATAAATATGCCTGTTTTTAATTAGATTAAGTGGCACGAGGCTTAGTGGGACATTTGTTTAAGAAGTCTGGAAAAGGCTGAGGAAAGTTTTTAGTGTCTATTTAAACAAAACAGAATCTGATGATCTTTTGCGTTAGTCTGTTGTTAGCGGTTGTGCAAACATACCACTAAGTCGTCATGTTAATAAACGTATCGAAATAAGTAACAACCGTAAGATTGGATTTGAATGGAAATTAAGAAAAGTTTCATTAACCTAAAATTAACATCTTAATTAAAGTAAAAATAAAATATTTAAAATACTTTTCTTTTTCTGTTTTGAAAAAGTTGTGCGTTGAGTGCCCAAATGTCGAAGTAGAAAAGTTATCTGTAAATAATTCGTGTCGACTAAAAATTGTAAGAACTATTGTTTGAAAAATTAAGTGTTAAACGGAATACAACTAAAATCGTCAAGCTTAAGACCTTTAGAATTATTTTCTGCATTTTGGTCTCTTCTTGTCTTAGCTTGAGCGTCTTTAGGAAGCTCTTAAAGGTAGCGTTTTTCTTAATGTATGAAAATTTTACTCTTTTTAGGCTTTATATTTTAGTGGACTTCATCTGCATACAGAGGTCCTCTATAAAGGACCAAGACTTTTCCTTTTGTCAGAAACCGAAACCATCCATCGCAGTATAAGTCTTTTATTTGTTAACCATTGTTTGCTCACTTGGTAACAACAAGCTTGCGCAAACAAATCCAAAAATACTCCATTGCCCAATTACCCAAATACGTATGAGTGGAAAGCAACTTTCCTCAGCCATTTCCAGACTTCTCAAACAAACGCCCTTCTAGGCCACGAGCCACGTTTTATTTTTAGGCACAGGCAAATAACTCTGCTATTGGACCACAACATTTGAAAGATTTCCTATAAATAGTCGACTTCAAGCCGGAGTCTGCACAGACCTTCAGTACTCTGAGAGATACACACAGCTAAAGATGCGATCCCAAATTGTCCTAGCCCTCGGCCTTGTGGCTCTCGTGGCGGCTGCCTACGGTGCAACCACTACATCAGATCCATCCTCGTCGACGTCTTCCACCTCACCGTCATCTGATCCTTCGTCGACATCATCTTCTTCCACGTCCGATCCAAGCACTGCATCGAGTTCTTCAACTCCTTCGAGTTCGACTTCCTCGACTTCTTCAACTCCTTCGAGTTCGACTTCCTCGACGTCTTCAACTCCTTCGAGTTCGACTTCCTCGACTTCTTCAACACCTTCGAGTTCGAATTCTACAAGTCCCTCCAGCACTTCTTCGACTTCAACTCCTTCCAGTTCCTCTACTTCGACGACCACACCAACTACATCAACAACGCCCACTGCTTCCAGTACGACCAGTACAGACAGTGACACGTCTTCCTCGAGCTCCAGCGAGGAGGTGGACAGCCTCAAGGAAAAGCTTCGCAGGCTTCGCAGGTTGAGGCGCCGTGAGCTACGACGGGAGAGGCGCCAGGAGAGGCAGCAAGAAAGGCGCCAGGAGAGGCGTGCTGAAAGGAGGCGCAACCGTTGGGGATAAGCCCTCCAAAAAGGACGCTCGGTAAAGGTTTACTCGAAAGTCAAATATCAGAACTAAATTGTCAAGAAAATAAAATAAAGCGGAGTAAAAAGGTATATTGTATTCGTCGGAAAGTTTGTAACCTAAAGAAGAACAAGTTTCCGACTCTATAAAGTATATATTTATTATATATCGTTGTTTGGGACCACTAGCCGAGACGATCTAGCCTTGTCCCATTAACCGTTCGTCTGTCTTTCTGACTGTATGTCAGCTTGTCCGTCCGTATGAACGCTGAGATCTTAGAAACTATAAAGTCTAGAAATTTGTGATTAAACATGCAGGTTCATGGGATTCCTGCGCGGCGTTTTTTTCAGTCGAGTGCCAAAATCGGCCAGCGCCTAAGTTTTTAAAGATATTGAATTAAAATTAATAATTAATTGAAATTGACTTTATTTGTATTACTCATGAATATGTCAAGACTCGTACCAAACGAACAATTTTTTAAAAGTTATCAGTAAATAAGTTAAAAACCTTTACATAGTCGGTAGTACCACTTTTGTCCCTTTTTGATTGTACAATTGTTTAAAAAAATTCCGGAGAATTCAATTACTATTCGATAATCTCTTCGGATTCTAGTGAAAATTACGCAGAGCGTGTTTTGAGGTTGTTGTGTAACTTATCAAATAGGTCTAGTCATTGTTAGTAGAAATGTTTTATTCGATTAGTGACTCTTTATAAATAATATACCTCATGGTGTTCAGGCAATAGATTAGTTCTTGTCACCAAACACAGGCATAATCTACAAGTACCCACATATTCACAGAGATTGTTGGAAAATAAAAGCCTGTATTTCACCAGGACATGCGCTATTACGTATTTAAGTGATATGGTCCACAATGTTTGAAAATTTGATAAGGTGAGTGAACTGACGATATGGTAAAATAAGAAATAAGAATTTGGTAAAGGAGATAAAAAGAGAACGCACACCTTATAAACCTCGTAGAATACCGCTTTTAGATTTAGTGTGGATCTACAGCAGAACTAAGAATGTCGCTGCTGCTGTCGTTGATTGCGCTCTTAATATCTCTGCTTTTATTCGCCGCACGTCGAAGTCATGGATATTGGCAAAGGAGAGGTATTCCCCACGATGTGCCTCATCCTCTTTTTGGAAATATGAAGGACTGGCAGAAGAAAAAAACGATCGCCCAGGTCTTTCGGGACTACTACATTAAATACAAGGGCTCGGATTATCCATTCGCTGGTTTTTATTTCTTTTTCCAACGAAACGCTGTGATCACCGATTTGGATCTGGTTAAAAGAGTACTGATCAAGGACTTTAACCACTTTGAGAATCGGGGAGTTTTCTATAGAGATCGATGATCCACTTACGGGTAATTTGTTCAGCATTGAAGGCCAGAAATGGCGTAACTTAAGGCATAAACTAACGCCCACTTTTACGTCCGGCAAAATGAAGCACATGTTTCCCATTGTTGTAAAGGTTGGAGTGGAAATGGAGAAGATCTTCAGCGACAAAACTACCTCAGGTCAAGGTCAAGTTCTTGAAATTGTGGATCTAGTGGCCCGATATACAGCTGATGTGATCGGCAATTGCGCATTCGGACTGAATTGCAACAGTTTGCAAGATCCCAAAGCCGAATTTGTGACAATTGGCAAGCGTGCAGTCAACGAACGTCGATTTGGGGGTTTACTGGATTTCTTATTTTGCGGTTTTCCAATTTTATCCCGCCGTTTGCGTCTTAAAATAAACGTTCAGGATGTGGAGGACTTTTATTCTAGAATCGTAAGAGAAACGAATAACTACCGATTGAAGACCAAGGAGAGGCGAAATGACTTTATGGACAGTTTAATCGATATGTACCAGAAAGAACAGGGTGGAAACACTGAAGACGGCCTATCCTTCAATGAGGTTTTGGCCCAAGCCTTTATTTTCTTTTTGGCTGGGTTCGAGACGAGCTCTACGACCATGGGATTCGCACTCTATGAACTGGCCCGCAACCAAGATGTTCAGGATAAAGTCAGAAAGGAGATTAACAATGTTATAGAAAAGCACAACAACGAGATCACCTACGAGGGAATCAAGGAGATGAAGTATCTGGAGCAGGTCGTCATGGGTAAGTAAAACAGCAGTGTTACAATGTTACTCGTTCTTTATATTAACAAATCCTCACAGAAACCCTCCGCAAGTATCCAGTACTGGCACATCTGACGAGAATGACCGAGTCGGACTTTTCACCCGAGGATCCCAAGTACTTTATTGCCAAGGGCACTATGGTTGTGATCCCATCTCTGGGAATTCATTATGATCCAGAAATATATCCGGAACCTGAAAAATTTAAGCCAGAGCGATTTACGGACGAGGCAATCGCTGCCAGACCCTCTTGCACGTGGCTTCCATTTGGAGAAGGTCCTCGGAACTGCATTGGTCTTCGATTCGGGTTGATGCAAACTTGCGTGGGATTGGCTTACCTAATCAGGGGTTATACGTTTAGTTTCGCCCCGGAGACGGAAGAACATATTCATTTTATTTTGAGCAGCGTCCTGCTGTCAGCTAAAAATGGAATTCATCTTAAAGTAGAAAAGATTAAGAAATGACAATATAAATCTAAGTTATATTGGTTTGCATAAACTGAAAATACAACTCCGTTGTATGGTATTTTACATCCAAAGAATGTATGATGTTGGTACTAGAGACCTCCGCGAGTTATGAAGTATAAATAAACTCGAGTACTAATGGGATTTCAGAACTACGAATACAATTTTATAAATTAGCTACCATAGTAAAAATAGCTACAGTAAAAAGATTATTTATAGTATAACTCTTGAGAACAAGAGAAACGAATACAGCATATTAATATATTTATACCCGTAAAGTACAGTAAAGTAAAGAGTACATTGTATTCGTCGGAAAGTATGTAACAGGTCGAAGGAAGCGTTTCAGACCTTATAAAGTATATATGTATATGCTTGAACAGCATCACTAGCCGAGATGTTCCAGACATGCCCATCTGTGTGTCTGTCCGTATAAGCGCTGAGATCTCGGAAACTTTGAAAGCTTAAAAGTTGGGATTCTACTACCTGATACTGATGCAATTGACTATAGCGTTTCTTCTTGTATTTTTATGTGTACGATGCCAATAGGCATATACTACTATAGTAGTGTTTTGTTGGGTGATTAAAAAAATAATCAGGGCATTAGTTGTAAAGAACATTAAGCCCTCTTACAAAAACAAGAAATCTATCCTGAAAATACTCTTATTCATTAGGCTAGCGAATATGGTTAACTTATCGAAGCACGTATAATATAAGTTTTATTGCTTGTCTGCTTGAGCGAGCAGACAAAGTCAAAGTATTATTTTTATTATCGATAAAATTACGTAAGCGCAATTGTTACATTTGTAAACCTGAAATGTGCTGCTCCCAGTAAACATAAACAAAAACTCTCTTTAGTTAATATTTTCTTATATTTATTATTAAGCTTACCTTTGTTAAAGAGAAGTGTGTTAAGGTGTTTCAATGGATAGTCATCGCACTATAAGGCATTCCTATGCAGAAACAGAAATAAACGCCCCTATCAAAATGATAAGAGTGCAATAAAAGAGACTGAAAGAGAACGTTCTCCATATAAACCCCGTAGCTTACCGATTTCAAACTCAGTATAGAGCGGAACCTGATCGAGAAATGTCGCTGTTGCTGTCGCTAGTCGCGCTTTTGGTGTCGCTGCTTTTGTTCGTGGCCCGCCGACGTCATGGATATTGGCAGAGGAGGAGTATTCCGCACGATGTGCCCCATCCACTTTACGGGAATATCAAGGACTGGCCCAAGAAGCGACACATCGCGAAGATTTTCCGGGACTACTACTTGAAGTACAAGGGCTCGGACTATCCATTCGCCGGCTTCTTCTTCTTTTTCACCAGAACTGCTGTAATTACCAACTTGGAATTGGTCAAGAGAGTGTTGATCAAGGACTTTAATCACTTCGAGAATCGGGGAGTTTTCTACAATGAGATCGATGATCCACTCTCGGCTACCGTGTTCAGCATTGAAGGCCAAAAATGGCGTCACTTAAGGCATAAACTAACGCCCACTTTTACGTCCGGCAAAATGAAGAACATGTTTCCAATTGTTGTAAAGGTTGGTGAGGAAATGGAGAAGATTTTCAGTGGTAAAACTACCTCGGGTCAAGGCCAAGTACTTGAAATTGTGGATCTTGTGGCCCGGTATACAGCTGATGTAATCGGTAACTGTGCGTTTGGACTCAATTGCAACAGTCTTAACAACCCAAAGGCGGACTTTGTAACCATTGGCAAACGGGCGATTACCGATCGTCGCTATGGAGGAATGCTCGATTTCTTTATATTTGGTTTCCCAAAGTTATCACGCCGCTTGCGCCTCAAATTGAACGTTCAGGAGGTGGAGGACTTTTACACTAAAATTGTAAGAGATACAATCGACTACCGATTGAAGACCAAAGAGAAGAGGCATGACTTTATGGACAGCTTAATCGAAATGTACCAGAAAGAGCAGGCTGGAAACTCGGAGGATGGTCTTACCTTTAACGAGCTATTGGCCCAAGCTTTTATTTTCTTTGTGGCTGGTTTCGAGACGAGTTCTACGACCATGGGATTCGCCCTCTACGAACTGGCCCGCAATCAGGATGTTCAGGATAGACTCAGGGAGGAGATTACAAATGTTCTGGGCAAGCACAACAACGAGTTCACCTACGAGGGAATCAAAGAGATGAAGTATCTGGAGCAGGTTGTTATGGGTAAGTTTCTTAAACATTTTTTATGTTCTAATAATATTATGTTCGATAACTAAATACTTATTTTTGTTATCATTCGACTGGTATTATTATTTTGTACTTAATGACGTCTGATGAAACATTAATCACTCCGTTTTCTTCCAGAGACCCTTCGCAAGTATCCAGTTTTGGCTCATCTTACGAGAATGACTGAGACAGACTTTTCACCGGAAGATCCAAAGTACTTTATTGCCAAGGGCACCATCGTTGTGATTCCAGCTCTTGGCATTCATTATGATTCAGAAATATATCCCGAACCCGAGAAATTTAAGCCGGAGCGTTTTACGGAGGAGGCAATCGCTGCGAGACCCGCGTGCACCTGGCTTCCATTTGGAGAAGGACCTCGGAACTGCATTGGTCTTCGATTTGGGTTGATGCAAACCTGCGTGGGATTGGCTTACCTGATTAGAGGCTATAAGTTTAGTGTTGCCCCGGAGACGCAGATACCCATGAAGGTTGTTGTGAAGAGCATTCTTTTGTCTGCGGAGAATGGAATTCAGCTTAGAGTTGAGAAGCTTTCGAAATGAGATTACTAACAATATTAATGTAGTGAATGGAAATGCTTTTATGAGGCCGATCAAAATAAAATATTTTATACTTATAAGTGTAAATTTCTGTAAAAATTATAATTCGCTCTGCAAGGTTATAAAAATTAAAGAGTGTTCAAGAGTAAATTTGAGTGATGAAGATTTGGAACTAGTCGTGGAGTTTTCCACAACAAGATCGATGATTGAAGGCCAAGAGGGTCCTCATTTGTGGCATTAACTTCGTTCGATTTCTCAATTGCTCACGTTATCCGCCTTTTGTGCCTTAAATTAAGATAAAGGAGGGATAGACTTTTACACCAGGATCGTGAGGGAAGCATAGATTAAAGACCGAGGAAATAGTGAATTGGCTTTATGGACAGTTTGATAAAGATGTATAAGAATAAAATTCGGATGATGGTTTGATTTTTATGGAGCTTCTGTTCCAAGCTTTTATTTTCTTCGTGGCTGGGAATGGAACTCGACATCTACGAACTGGCTGGCATTTTATATGTCATTTCGATATGGAGCAGATTGAAAAGCGCCCGGCCTGCTCTTTCCTGCCCTTCGGGACCGTATTGGACCTCGATTGGGACGGATGCAGGTCGCAGTTGGAATGGCTAAGGGGAGCCTTTCTTAAGCCAGTTTATATGTAACTCTAAAAAAGCTATGAAAAATTGTTAAACTTGTGCCTTTTAAGAACTGCCGTTAAATATAAAAAAAGAAAAACTTATTTTACTATGTCTTTAATCATAGTCCTAAAATGTATGGTTCGGGATGGTTACGAATTATAATTATTAAATCATTTTTGGATCCATTTGTTACAAAAAAAAAAGTTAAAATAGATATAGAGAGCTAGTCTAATAGTTAAACATTCCTTATTTAAGAGAGCATGCTTCATAGCACCATCAACACTTCAAGTTTTACTATAATCGGAGTAGCTTTCATTATGATTTGTGATTCATTTAATTAGAATAGAGCGGTGCGCGTTATGAAAGCCCAAAGCTCCTTTATATCGAATTCAATATAAGTAACGGGCTTTCAGCTTACCAATTCAGTGTTCCGAAAATGTTTGTTCTACTAGGGCTGTTGGTCGGTGCTCTCAGCCTCGCCGTTTGGTGGGTTCACCAGCTTTATACGTACTGGAAGCGTCGGGGAATTCCCCATGATCCACCCAACTTTCCATACGGAAACACCGTCGAACTCCAGAGGACAATGCAAATGTCCCACATTCTCAAGCGAACCTATTTTAAATACAAGAACCAGACCGACGGCCCATTTGTGGGATTCTACGTTTTTGCAAAGAAATTTATCGTGATAACCGACATTGATTTTGTGAAAACTGTGCTGATTAAAGACTTTGAAAAGTTCCACGATCGCGGAGTTTATCACAACGAAAAGGACGATCCACTGACTAGTAATCTGACCGCTATCGAGGGTGAAAAGTGGAAAAACCTGCGTCAAAAGCTGACCCCAACCTTTACGTCTGGAAAAATGAAGACCATGTTTCCCACAGTGTTAAACGTGGGCGATGAACTTATTCGGATATTTGATGAGAAGATCTCAAGTTCTCCGCAAACTCTGGAAGTCACAGATCTCGTAGCCCGTTTTACAGCCGACGTGATTGGAATCTGCGCTTTTGGGCTAGAATGCAATAGTTTGCGGGATCCCAAGGCGGAATTTGTCAGAATGGGAAACTCGGCGATTACCGAACGCCGACATGGCAGACTAGTAAACTTGCTCATCTTCGGAGCGCCAAAACTATCAGCCAAGTTGGGAATAAAGACCCTGCCTCCAGAGATAGAGGAGTTTTACTTGAGCATTGTCAGGGAGTCCATCGATTATAGGGTAAGGAACAAGATAAACCGGAACGATTTCATGGATATGCTGATCGATATAAAGCTAAAATACGACAATGGCGATAAGCAAAATGGGCTTACATTTAACGAGGTCGCTGCACAGGCCTTCATATTCTTCCTGGCAGGTTTTGAAACTAGCTCTACCACCATGGGTTTTGCCCTATATGAGCTGGCCTGCAATCAGGATATTCAGGATAAACTACGGACGGAAGTAGATAGCGTTCTAAAGAAACATAATGGAAAATTGGACTATGACAGCATGCGGGAGATGACTTATCTGGAAAAGGTCATCGATGGTAGGTTCATGTCTTATTATACTACCTGGTACATTTTGTATATCTAAATTCCCTTTTAAGAGACCCTAAGAAAACATCCTGTGGTGGGCCATCTGGTCCGTAGTGCGACTAAAGACTATGTGCACACAAATCCAAAATATTTCATTGAAGCCAGCACTGGAGTTCTGATACCGACCTTAGCCATCCACCACGATCCAGAGTTCTATCCGGAACCGGAAAGGTTCATACCAGAACGCTTTGATGAGGAACAAATACAACAACGGCCCCAATGCACTTTTCTGCCTTTTGGGGACGGTCCTCGGAACTGTATAGGTATTCGATTTGGACGTATGCAGGTTGTCGTTGGAATGGCCCTGCTTATTCACAACTTTAAGTTCGAGTTGCACCCCACTAAGACAACGGTTCCGGTCAAGTACAATATCAAAAGCTTTTTGTTGAGCTCCGAAGGTGGAATTAACCTTAATGTCAGCAAGATAGTGAAGCACTGAAATTATTCATACCAAAAAAATGTTTCCTAGTGCAAAGATCCTCAAACCTTACGTAAAACCTCGACGGTTTTGATTTAGCATATGTTTAACAAAGTACAGAATATAGATTCTCTGTTATCTATATATTAAAAGGTTTGTTGTTGAGTATTGATAAGAATTTATTTTTGTTTTTCATAATCAGTTAATTGAAAGACAACTAATGATAATTAGTAATCTAAAACCATTTGCCCGCGGTTAGTCACTATCCGGTTTGACGACGTTAACATGTGTCTGCTAAACTGTTCTACACAAGTGTGTAGATTTAGTAAATCGTTCCTTACGTAAAGGTTCAAAGATTTAGTACAGTTGAAAGTTTTAACAAAATAAATCTTAGACTCGTTCAGCTTTTAAGAAGATACCGGTCTCACTGGATATTAGGAAAGTCTTTTTGTTGTATACCATTGGTATTGTAGTCTGGTCGCATACGGAGAACTTGAAGTCCTTGAGAAGGAAAGACAATCCAATTCTAGTCTGCATCTGACCAAATCGCATACCGATGCAATTTCTTGGACCTTCTCCAAAAGGAAGCCACTCCACGGAATCGCGTTCCTTGACGCGTTCGGGGGTGAAATTGTCGGGGTCAAAGGTATTTGGGTTGGCATATAACTTTTCATCGCGGTGCATGGCTCCACAAGGAATCAAAACGGGCATTCCCTTTTTAATTACATATTTGGGATTATCAGGAACCACAAAGTCCTCCAGGCATTCGCGATTCAAGACAGGAAGAACGGTGTACAGGCGAAGGGTTTCTTTGAGAATTAAAAAGTTATTTGGGCTTAGTGGACTATATTTCTAATACTCACCCGATATAACCTGGTCCAAATAGACCATGTCCTTCATACTTTCGTAAGTTAACTCCCCGTTGCACTTGGCAAAAATCTCCTGGCACTCTTCCCTCACCCGATCCTGAATGTCCTGATGCTGAGCTAGTTCATACAGGGCGAATCCCATGGTGGTCGATGAGGTTTCAAAGCCAGCCCCGAAAAAGACAAACGCCTGAGCTGCTATTTCCTCGATCGTGAGATTTACACTTTCCCCAGTCTCAGACTTTGTCTGTGGATTGTTTTTCAAATCGATTAACTGATCCATAAAGTCGTTGCGACGGACATTATTCTGCTCTCGGAAATCCACTGTTCCTTTCACGATGCGTAGGAAAAATCGTTCGGCTTCCTCTATAGTTAATTTCATATGAAGCTTACGGGCCAGATTCTGAAAGCTATTCATAAACGCAATTCCAATCGGTCCGTGGCGGTTCTCGAATATGGCTCGTCGACCCATCACCCGAAATTCGGCCTCCGGATCCTTAAGACTACTGCACTCTATACCAAATGCGCAGGTGCCAATCACATCTGTACTGAATCGGGCCAGAATGTCCTTAACCTCAACGATGGGCGACTTTTCCATTGTCTGGCCAAACACTTCGATGAACTCATGTCCCACCTTCACAACGGTGGGAAACATATATTTCATTTTTCCAGATGTAAATGTAGAGGATAGCTTGTTTCTCATAGATTTCCACTTTTGACCGTCTAACAAGAACAGTTGTCCCGACAAGGGATCGTCCTCCGTATTGTGATAGAACCCACGGTCTGTGAACTTGGTGAACTCCTTAATCAAGATGAGCTTTGCCAGCGAGGTATCCAGAACAAGTATGCCAGGTCTTTGGAACCAATAGAAACCCGCGAAAGGGCCAGTACCACGAAACTTATTGTAGTACTCCAACCAAACGTCACAGAATGTTCGACTAGTTTGCACACCCGTCAGACTTCCCATCAGGATGTGGGACTCCTCGCAGGGAATGCCCAGATTCTGCCAGTACTTCAGGGTACGACGCCATTTCAATACTATATAACCCACTAGCACTACTACAATTGTCAATAGATAAATGTAAACACTCATGACATCAGCTTGGGGGCGATAAAAAATAATCAGCCTCCGAAAAATTTCGCGAATGCAGGCCAGATGAGCTTCAAAAACATACTGATGAAAGCTCCACTTGCTAGCTGAACGAATTCATTAAGAAGCGAGAGAGTCCATGTGTTTTGTTAGATTTGTTAAAATAAAATGTATATAACTTTATTTGATTGAAAATTGGTTCTCTTTTCTGTTTTACGGAGAATTTCTCTTTTGAAGAGATGAATTCTAATATTTAAAGAATTTTTAAGAGCACCCAACTTTGAATACTACTAACCTAACGAACCTACCCCAACTTATTTTGGCGTAGCGCCTGACCCTTACAAAAACAGTATGATAAAATTGCAACCTTATCTTTTACAGTACAAAACTTATTAATTTTGTTATTATTTAATACATTGTTAGACGTATGTTTTGTTTAAGTATGTATACAAAGATAATTAAATAAGTATTCCATGACACAACATAAATTCCACTATTTTTTCACCGCTATATTCATTTTGCGTTCTTATGATTTAGTCAGCATCAGTGGGAAGAGACAACCCGTAAATTGGAACCCCGTTTTCAAAAATACATATAAAGAGAAAACGAAAGTGAAAAATAAATTCGAGCAATAGCCTGTAACGAACACACTCTATGAGCGTTGTCCACCCTAACACCTCTGTCTACGCTTTGACCGGCCTGCTCAGGGAGATGGGTGTGGGTTTGTGTTAAGATGAAACAAGAGTGTCACAGAACTAACAATAGTAGACAGAGAGACGGTAACGATAAGGATTTTTAACCCATCGGCTAAGATTCGGACGAGAGACTGTACCTATCGAAGACGGAGGCCCAGATGTTATTGGCCACCTTCTATACCCACCCTACCTGTGAAGTCACATTAGACTCCACCCTTAAAACAACCGCTGCGCTACATCCTCTAAGGTGCCCTCAAAAGATCACAACTTAGATCATCTTAAATTTCATTTAATACGGCAAACACGATAATATGGTTCATGGTTCTTAATACTACAAATCCTAACACTAAAGCCTTAAGACTAAGCGTCTATGATATGATCGAGTGTCAGTACAAGATTATCAAATAGGAAAAGAAATGGATATTTTGTTTACGTTAAATTATTACGAAACTGATTACATATTTTATCGATATGCGGCAAGCTTATTCAAAAATTACAGGAAATCACTTAGGCGGATTACGTTAAATTATATAAGTGCAAACGATTCTTATTTAATATTTATATCAATACGCGAATGTGGAAAAATTACATACAAGAATGAATATATATGTAGGAATGTAAATGATTTACGGCTATGCCGTACTTACGAACTCTCCAACGAAGTCAGCAGGCCTGATGACGATCGATGTGCGCTGTAGGATAATTTAATTTAGGTGTATATATGTCATACTATGTCGTAAGCACACACGCAAGTATAAAAGCTAAATAGGAATCGTAAATTAAATTAGAAACTTGTCGTACAAATATTTAGAATAAGAAAATTAAACTACAATCGCTTTAGCGATACAAAAACGAGTTGGCAGTCCCGGCCAAAATTAACTGGAAACCAGAATTGGGACTGAAATTCCAATTGGGATGCGGCGTCCGCCTCCGCTGTCTTGCCCGAATTACGCCGAACCGGCGCCGGTGCGTTTTTCGCCCGAACTGCAACGTGATCTGACTTGTAGATCGTCGTGCGGACTTGGCAAGGTCAAAACCTCACGCGGGTTGACTGCGGCGATCCTTGAAGCCGCTTATGGTTTGCCGATGATGAAATTAATCCAGGTGTGGCAAAGAAGACCGATTCCTTTCACGCGGTGTGCGGTATAAAAATCCCAAATGGCGATTATGGCCTGGCGCTCAAGAAATGTATGGTTCCGCTGATGAATCGCTGCACGCGGCACCTGCTCCTTGCTGTGCGCAGAGGGAGGACTGTAAAACTTCCGTCAATTCCGAGAATTTGCACGTGTCTCTGGTCACTGCTGTTTTCCAGGAATTGCGATTAGATTCTTTCAATATATCGTCGAATAATCTTACCACCAATATTGGGAGTGATAACAGGTCCTACTGCTCAACCAAAATTCCTAGAATTTCACACGCGGATGTGTGGATGCGAACGGGTTTGAAAATTATAGCACTTTTTGCAGGGAACGAACCGATCTCGGGAGAAGCTTGCGACAAAGAGGAGGAAATCATGGCGTCTAGAGTGGATGTAGGATGCACAAAATCCTCAAAATCCATAAAAATGGTATTTTTGGTATTCTAGCGAGGATCGGATTCTTGCTACTGAAGGGTTGCATCTGGGCTATTTATGTTAATTACCATGGGTAATGTCTTGACTAGGAATGCCAACTTGGCCGAAAATACTGACTCCCACAACCACAGTTTTGATTTTTAGTCCCTGACTAACAATTAAAACTGAAAAAGGAGTCAGGAGAAGTCAACGCTTTAAAACTTAGTGCCGCGATAAAATTCTTCGCGGCGGTGACACGCCTTACGCAAAGCTTCCAAAGAAGGGGTGTCAACATGCAGTAACTCAAGTTTCAAGTCTGGCTTAAGATTGTGGCGCACTTCGCTGGCTAGCTCACTATCATGCATGGGCTCTCGGAGGGAATTAGCTATGATAAGCATTGCGTCAAGAAAGTCGTCAAAACTTTCGTTTGAACCCTGCTTACGACGACGCATGGCACTTTTTATTTCACGGTCTGATCTCTGATCTGAGTATCTCTCCTTTAAGCGTCTGCATAATACATGCCAGTTCATGTCATCTACCGACCTATGAACACGCCAGTAAAAAGATAGAGCAGGACCTGCAAATAGCAAATTTGCAAACTGCGACAACAAATCGAAATTTCCGTTTAGGCTTTGTGTAGTGAGACAGTTTACTCGGTATATAAAATCCTCAACTGCGATGTCGTCAGCTGACCCACTGAATTTGATTCGCCAGTTGGAAATCACATTTGAAATTCTGTCAGGACGATCCAAAGAAAGATCGCTGCGATTGCTTCGCACATCCGGAGAGTTCCTAACTCGCTGACTGTTTTGACCCTGATTGTTCTGGAAACCGACTTGTCCTGAATTGTTACGGAATTCGTGCTGCGTATTGTTATCCACAAACGTAGACCTATTCAATTGGCTAAACATCTGAGTCATTTTTTCTGTGATTGTATCTGTCATGGTTACTTGAAATGTTCTCTGGTTCTCTAACATGCTTTTTTGAAATGCTCGCATTTGATTCGCAAGACTTTGCTGATCTGGGCCTTCGGTTACATCTGAGTCATTAGTTTGCCTATTGTCTTGCTGGGGATTCGAGTTGCCATTCTGAGAGACGATAATATGTTCTGATTATCGGCGTTACGAGACCTAGATCTGGTCATCATTCGATTTTGCATACCGGAATTCGGATTAGATACCGTCTGGGACTGAGAACATGGTTGAGAGCATGTTGGACAAGTGTTGCTATCCTGCAGCCAGTTTTGTAGACAAGCCTTATGAAAGCAATGTTTACAAGCAGTTTCAATTAAATCCAATTCGAAAACTACTGCGTTGCAGAGGGTGCACATCACTGAGACATCATCACCTAGAGAAACTAAGTTCTCGTTGCTGTGCCTAACCGACATTTTTAAAACCTAACTAAACAACCAACTAATCTCAAAAACTTAAAAAGAGAAATGGAAGATATACGATATGCGATAGAAATATACGATATGCGATAGATATGTACGATATGCGATAGAAGTATACGATAATCATTCAACAATGACAAGACGAGAAAGATCCTTGAGAAATACGGAATGCGGTAGTATCATAAAAATATGAGGGGCTTATCCTGAGGAGTAATGTAGCAGCAGGTTGATTTTCGTTCGATAGGTACTAATTATTAACTGAAAATGTTTGCGGAATTAATTATATATAAAAATAGTATTTTGAGGTCTAACCAATCAAAAGAGGGACTAGCCGAATTTTTCCAGCTAGAACAAATCTCGATTTTAATTGGATAGAAGATGTGGTTTGAAAACTGAAAACTTGGTAAAGAACCGACCTTAAATCAGAACTAAAATTCCGAAGTATCAAATAATCAAAATGGAATGTTTTTAACTATAATGTCCGAGTATGACCGAACTGATAGAAAAACATGTAACAAAAGTATAACATTTCTGCTGGTATGGCTCCGAATCTATCCAGAGTACCAACAAATCCAAGTCAAAAATGAAATACTAACTGAAACTACAATTTTACAAAAATGGATGGATTGAAATATTTTCGGGAAGCTCGGCTGTCAAACGACAGATGCCTGATCAGGCATCGGGCTTGCTCCATTGTTGGGCGCCATTTAATTCTGTAACGAACACACTCTATGAGCGTTGTCCACCCTAACACCTCTGTCTACGCTTTGACCGGCCTGCTCAGGGAGATGGGTGTGGGTTTGTGTTAAGATGAAACAAGAGTGTCACAGAACTAACAACAGTAGACAGAGAGACGGTAACGATAAGGATTTTTAACCCATCGGCTAAGATTCGGACGAGAGACTGTACCTATCGAAGACGGAGGCCCAGATGTTATTGGCCACCTTCTATACCCACCCTACCTGTGAAGTCACATTAGACTCCACCCTTAAAACAACCGCTGCGCTACATCCTCTAAGGTGCCCTCAAAAGATCACAACTTAGATCATCTTAAATTTCATTTAATACGGCAAACACGATAATATGGTTCATGGTTCTTAATACTACAAATCCTAACACTAAAGCCTTAAGACTAAGCGTTCTATACGCCAAAAGACTCTCTATATGATCGAGTGTCAGTACAAGATTATCAAATAGGAAAAGAAATGGATATTTTGTTTACGTTAAATTATTACGAAACTGATTACATATTTTATCGATATGCGGCAAGCTTATTCAAAAATTACAGGAAATCACTTAGGCGGATTACGTTAAATTATATAAGTGCAAACGATTCTTATTTAATATTTATATCAATACGCGAATGTGGAAAAATTACATACAAGAATGAATATATATGTAGGAATGTAAATGATTTACGGCTATGCCGTACTTACGAACTCTCCAACGAAGT